ACAGAGACAAAAACTTGCTACAAAAAACGTTCACCTTTGGATAAGAGAACTGAAGATTATTATACAGATTATACATGCCCTTGTGCAGTTGCCACCGCAGTATTTAAAAATAAACTTCACGGCATCACCGCTTATGTCCAGGATGAATGTGGTTATACTAAGGCCATAAGTCTTTTTCAAGTGGTTTTAACCCAGATAAGCAATATTATGTCTTTATCACTGACGATTGTGGAAAGATATCACTGATCAACTAGATTTAAAGATTAACAAAGACGGTAGTACCGAGCCGTTTGTTTCCAAACTTCCTGATATTAATCTTAACTGTGACAAGATGGTATCTTGTTTGCATACACTCCCAAACACGCAGACAATAATACCACATATTCTAAACGTACTGAAGATGATTATTATAAAGATCCTTATCGAAAACGCGCCCAAGGTTCCCAGATCTATATTTATGAAGACAGTTCCACTTACGACGAAGCTGATGTTGCTCTGATTTAAAATTTATCAATTTTTTATTATAAAATGTCAAATCACCTCGATTTTTTATTATAAAATGCTTGGTTTTATCTTTTGTATTCCGATAATTGTTATTTAAAAAAAGTTTTCATCTCAATTGACTACATAGACCATCAAATATTTCTTTTCTCAAAAGTTGTTGGTTGGTCTTTAAAACAACATATAACTTGTCAAATGTTTCATAAATAAATTCTCATTCTTAAAATTGAAATTATTTTGTAAGCTTAATTTCTCCATGAGAATTCAAAAAAAAAAAAAAAATTAAAATTAAGTTCTTTGTTTCAGATTACCCCTGTTCTTATGGAACTATGGTCGATTTATGTTTCATATGTTGTGTTTCGCGACCTAAGAACCCTGCTCGTTCTTATAAACTTTAGGGATAATGTTTAATTTCCTTTTTTAAGTCTAGTTATTATAATATGATAATGCATCTTGTAAATTTTTATTTATTTATTTATGTTATATAGCGATAGTATATCAAAGTCATCAAACCCTAACTCTATCTAGACCCTAACCCTAAACAAAAAATTGTTATACAATAATTTCACAACCCTAATTCTAAATTAAAGACACCAACACTTTCCATCAAGACTCAAAAAATTACTATCTAAATGCGCCAATGCAACCTAACACTACGAAAAATGCATTCATTTAAAAATATTCCCGGCATAACACTAATCGCAATGGCTCCTAAAAACAGTAACACCAACGAAAGTTTGCATCTCCGGAAACAGCACCACAAAACGGCAGGAATATATTAACAAACGACAACACCAAAAAGTATGCCGATGAATGACGAAACAACAACTCAGTTACACTAAAAAAGAAAAAACTGGTTAGTAAAAAAAATAAAGAGTAACATGACAAAAGAAAAAAATAACGACATAAAGTAATGACCATGACCGGTTCAGCTCATTTCACCGACACTTATTTCGTAGACATAACATTTCCCAGACAAAAATTCACCGAGATGTTATTTCACCGAAACTCATTTCACCGACAAAATAATTCTGGTTATTGTCGTTAGGGCCAGGCTAGAATTAGAGTTAAATTTATAAAAAAAAATTTGTTTATGAAATGAGCTTTGGTGAAATAAACTGTCGGTGAAATAAACTTGTCGACGAAATAATTGCAGGTGGTGAATTTTTGTTGGTGAAATGTTATGTCTACGAAATGAGTGTCGGTAAAGCGATACGTATCCATAACGACGCCACTCACAAGATAACATAAATGCATCAACAAGCGATAATACCAGTCAACCACACCGGCAAACGATGAACGACAACACAATAACACGAATAGAATTCTACAAAAAAGAGGACTGGTTGGTAAAGTAAAAAAAAAAAAAAAAAAGTAACACGAAGAAGAGAAAACCAATGACGAAATGT